TCGGTTGTTTGACTTTTCTGAAATGGGCACATCAACTAAATGAAATTCCATGAACGAAACATTGTTCGATCGGGGGTGATAGCATCGCTTGATGAATGAAGTGGCGAAAAAGTTCTTTCACCATCGAACACATCATTGTGTGGTGTCGGTCTACAGGCACACACACATGTTCTGGTACTCTATAAACTCTTGGTTCATTTCATTGAAGAAATGTCTTTTACAATGTCAGCGCGCATTGCGAACCGTCGACTTGATTTGGGCTCTATCGTCTTGCAAACTATAAAGACACTCTCACCATATATCTCAATTCTTCGAACAACAGCTTGAGCATTAGTATCTCTCTATATATTCTTCTTTTTAATTTGCACACTTCAAAAAATCATGCACAAGAATGGAGAATTGAGATAGAAAGAGAACGAGTTCGAGAGTCGAAAAGTGTTTGAATTCGATCGAAATGCGAAGAAAATTTGTTGATTTTCCGCAAAATTCTCCTTCGATTGGATTGCAACATTTTGCAATTGGTTTTATTTGTGCGTGAGCCGGTTTAATTCAAGAAATTGCCAAGCACAAATGCACTCCAATTTCTTAAATACACAAACTGAGGAAGAATGGTCAGAATGTACCGTATGCACCGAGAACAACAAAAACAAAAAAAAAACATCTAGAATGTTTCACTCACAAGCACACATAGTTCAAGTTACATAATTAGAAACTAATGAAAGATAAGTGTGACTAGCGAACGAACCATGCTTATCACTTTTAACAGCACTTTCTTCACTTCCATGTTCGCTGGCGCTCTCTATTTCACTGTTTACTTGGTTCACTGTAAGAGTTCGTATCTTCTGAGTTTGATGTTTTTTTTCTCTATTTCTTCTCTGTTCACAGTTCCTTATTGCATTACGTTGATTTTTATTTATTCTTTCTGTCGCTACAATATCTCTTCGTTGGTTCATATTAAGGTACACCAACGTTCCAAGTTATATGGGTTAGTTCTTTTTGTTCATTCGTACTTTTTTTCACTGTTCCATGTTAAATGTTCGGTGTTGCGCGAAACCAAAGTATAACCCAGTAATTATAAAATTAAAAAAATTACATCGATGTTAGTATAGTGGGAGCGAATCATCTCATTGCAATTTATCAACATCTCAGTGCACCATTGGCCAGTAATTTTTTTTGTGTATTGCTTTTCAGCGGGGCGTGTAATGCAATTTCGCTTTGGATAGTTGCAAACATTTTCCTTTCATTTTTCACTCGATCGCTTCATTACTTACATTCGTCGTTCTGCATGAATGGAATAAATAATAATTTACCGTGACTTCGAAAACAAAACGCTCAATGATCTGGCACTCATCGTCATTCGTCGCTTTCAAAAGAATGAATATGTAAGCAAATTCAATCTCGCTTTTTCCCAAGCAAAAGATGGCGAAATGAAATTATAAAACAATATTCTTTTGCGAGCAATTTTCTCTTTTTTTTAACTACAAAGTTAATGCGCTTGAGTTTATAATTTTGTTCCGCTCCGTTTGTGTACGGACGTTGATTAAAAAATTAAAAATAAAAACAAAGAAACCGCTGAGAAAAGATGTCGTCAACCATTATATGCAATGATAAAACACACACACTCATATTCAGCGGTAATGTGTCATGGAGATCAACAAGGGAGACGAGGACATGTGAATCAAGTTCAGCCCTAATGATTGGAAAGCAACAAATCATAAAAATAAAAATCTTATTTGTGTGGCCTCAAGTCATTTTCTACATGAAATGAACCGCATTTCTCTTCTCATTCGTAGCATGGTTCGTTTTATTCGTCCTCTATTTCCCCATTCGCCTTAGTGCATTTTCCAATTTTTCTGTTTAACATTATTCTATTTGTGTACAAACGCATTTCATAGTGAATTAGATGGAAAATAACGTTATCTAGTGGTTTGCATTTGCATTCATAGCATTAAATCATAACACACATGCATAATTCGCCTTTCTCTCCCTGTCTATCTGCCGCTCACTTTGGCCGCTCTCTTGGCACATTCAAAATCAACAAATCCGGCTGTACAACATTTTTCTCTTGCTCTCATTCGCATTTTCACCATTTGCATCATACATACATACACATTTTGCATTGTGCAGCAGATTTTTTATGCATCCGTTCAATAATCATCCTTTATTGCATTTGCAAACGCGTTTTGTTGTGCAACAACACCAACAAAAAAACTGAGAAAATATTCACATTTTGAGCTAACTCTTACTGTGTGTATGAGTGCATGAATGACTGAATATAAACGATGACAAAAATTTATTTTGCATTTTTCACTTATTTTCTGCATTCATTGTGGTCGTTGTCCCAATGGAGATTTGCATTGCATTGCTCTTTCGCTCTCTTTTAGTGTGTCAACGGAAAATTTAATAGTTTAATATTCTTTTGCAACAGAATTAGAATGCAACGGCGCAATGAATAAGTGAGCTGGGTGTGCTGCATGCATCACGGAAGGGTGAGAGTGGGTGTGATGGAATGGAATGTGATAAAAGTAGTGGTTTTCAACGGAAAAATGGCAACGCTTTATATGAAACCAAGAGGAAAATATGTATGAAATGGCGGATGTGTGATTATTCTCACAATATTTTGTGTTAAATCTTTTTTTTTTTCATATGAAATGATCTTCTGTTAGAGCTCTGTCGACCTCATTTTGGTCTTGACAAACGGAAAATATGCATTTTACTCGTTCACTGATATAAATTCGCTCCGTTTAGCCGGATTCAAACAAGAACTTAAAGAGCCTGAGAGTTGCCTCGTTCTCTTTATTTTTCTTTTCGTTCCAAACTTCCAAAAGCCGCCGCATTCATGAATGCTGAAAATCTTTTGAACCACTTTTCAATTGTGTGTTGTCTTTCACAGTTCTGAAGTGGAATAGTCGATGTGCAAAAGGCGCGCCAAACCATACAACACATTTTCTAACGATGAATTGAAGAATTTTGCACTCCATTCAAATTACATAAAATAAGTTTGTTTATTTTACATTCAAGGATTTTCTGGAAAAAAAAAGACTCACGCCATTCATATCAAACGAGAATGAGCATATTGCTCGATTTTTTTTTGGCGGCGGTGGTCGTATGACAAGGAAAGCATTCCACTTTTAAATGGGTGCACATATTTTTGATATTTCATTTTTCAATTTAATTTTACTTCTTGAAGTGTTTGTCGCGTCCATTGTTCGGTGTAGTGGCATGTCATCTTTCCGGCTCGTAATTTGAAAAGATTGCTTCAAATGTCTTCGATAATAATAATAATAATAATCGGTATTACGAAAGATAGAAATTTGAATATTTTTCAATTAACGCCGAACGATCATGCCATTTGAAGTAAAGCAAAACAGCGCCATGAATAATAACCGATGATTTATAATAATTATCATTGCCGTTTATACGTATATAAACTGAATAAATGGACTGAGATTGCGAGGGGGTTTCGATGAAGAATGGGCGTGCTATTCAATTGTTTTACGAAAAAATATTTTGGTAACTGTGTAATGGGTGAAGTCAAAAAAAGACTGAAAATGAAGACATTCGCGGAATGCGGTGGGGATGAAATGGAAACGATTTTTCGACTTCAACTCGGGAAGATTTTGCCATATAATTTATGACACATAAAAAAGTACCGTTTCAAGTGCACCATGCCAACCAAAATAAATATCGAAATAAATTTCAATATAAATAAAACATATGCGATTGGCTTATGACTGTTCTTAAATGTGCACATTATCGTCGAACAAAGGTGTTGTATTGCTGTATAAGAGGCAAAATAAAAGTGAACCAATGTTTGCAGGCCAATATTTTCCAATTTTCACAGTGTGCCATTGTTTTCATTGCATGTATCAAACCCATATAGCCACAGGTACACACCTATTCTGTACATCGAATTGTGACTGTGAGTGAGCAAGATTGTTTGTATCATATTTCCGAAGAAGCCGAGCGAAAAGTGTATCCACTCAATTTATGTGTTTGCGATGCTCTTGCGACAAAGACATTTTTCGCTGCTATTGCAATTGTTTTCATCCATTAGTCACTTTATAGCGCCAACACAATCGTTTGGCAAAAAAGAGATGCCGATGTACGCGCCATAGATGTGTTTGTTCTATATTTTCTTCGCTCTCGCCACCATCTATGATAAATTAATATTCTTTCGAAAATAATGGAGTGCGTTTGTTTGTTTATGGCCGCTTGGGGCTTTCGCTTTCTGGTTCTCTATTCTTCTTCATTTTTTTTTCTTTTATTTTTTGACGAGGCTTAGCTGGGTGGTTTTCTTCGCCATGCCGTTAATACTACTATCAAAAATCATCACTTTTGCACGTCGTTTCGTGAAATTTTCATAAATCACTTTCATTTCGTACATTTTTCACATCGATTCTCATCTTTGCTCTTACTCTCTCACTCTCTCTCTCTCTCTCTCTCTCTATCTGTGTCGGCCTCAGCTATCAGTACACGTTCGCTAATCTATTTGTTTCGTGCAAGTGTGATGAAGTATAGCATCAGTTTGCTTAGCAGGCGGTATATTTTACACTGTCAGTTGCATACGTACACGGCAATATGTTTGATCAAAACCTAATGAATTTATGACAAGAAATAAATAGATTTTAATGGCACAATGCTTTCAAAAATGTTTGCTCTTCGTTTTTCGCATAAAAAGGTGGTAATCGAATGCCAATAAAACGTTACTACCTGAACATTACCTAAACGATTTTCAACGATTAAGAATCAAAATGTATGAGCATTATATTTACATTTTTACCTTTAGACAAGCGAAAGAGTGGCATCGATCATAAATTTTGTTTCACATGGATTTGAAATGAGCACGTGTCAATGGATTAATTGCCAATTATCCGGTTTAACGCTGCTGAAATACGCTAATCGCCAAAATTTATATGTCTTTCTTTGTCTCTCTCTTTCTCGCTCGTGCTATCTCGAACCCGCGGGAAATCTGTCGTGTTTTAATCATAGATACATACCCAAGTGAGCCTGCAATGAAAAGAATGAGACATAAGCAATTATTCCAATTAATATGAAAATGCAGAGAAGCGTAAAATGTTTTTTTTTATCTCGAACACAGTATGTTGTTTATGGCATTATTATCAGTATAGTACGGATTTTGGTATGTATGTGCACACTGCACAGCTCTTCAACACGAAACGAAGAATGAAAAGCGAATGGGCTCCTGTTGTTTTGCAATTACATGGTGATTTTAATCACAGAGCGAATATTGTAATTTACACATAATTACAACAATCGAGCATTTGTGCTTGCAAAAAACACACATATACACACATACACGAAAACAAGTGTAAATAAAACAAGCACGACTGTGAAAAAAAATGTGTAAGTGTTCAAAGTTGACAAAGTTGTGATAACAGACGGTCAAACAAAAAACCCATTCGGATAATGAACAAAAAAACCGTGTCATTATCTATGGTAATTAATGACGACAGAATATTTGAAGCCAAGTTAAGTGTATATTTTTGGTTGTGGCGACCATGCGACTCCGCTTTCGATCAAAATTCTACTGATAATAGAACAATTGTAGCCGTTCCTTCTGTAGCTTGATGACAATTTCTCGTTTTTCTATGCCATTGCAAACAAAAGTTTACGAGTCCATGAGTAATATGTACTCTGTGTGCCTATCTATCCCATCATATGTGTAGTACAGCTGCTTCGTGGTTTTTCTATTTTTCTAGTTTGAATTATATTGTTCTCACTAAAATTATCCATGCAAATGGTTTTCATTATGTTAATTACATTCCCAATTTAAGTACACTGACGAGTTGTTGATGAATTATAGCAATTTTTCTACTGAAACTAATGGAAAGCATGAATAACCATGCTCCAAACAATGTAGCATTTTTTCACTCCGTTTTAACGACATGAAAAGTGGCCAAAGAAAAATTCTCAATAATGAATTAAAGAAATTGTTTTACTTTATTTTTCTGTGTATTGAAAAAGGTCTCGGTCTTTTCTATGTGGTTTCTTCAAATAGTGTAACAATTGTATACACATATATTTCTTTTTGTTTCTCAAAGTAAACAATTATGGAATTAAAATCGATTCACATATGAGAACGGGCAGAATTTTCCAAATGAAATACAAAGAAAGAAATATTCTATCGGTAATAAAAACAAGAAAAAGGAAAAATACGAACACGAATTTGTACAACTGTGATAAAATGCAAAGTGAACGTGGTGTAACGTTGTACGTGGAATGAGTTCCTTTTTTTCGACTTTCGACGTATAAAGTATGCAATAAAATAATACATTCGCTCAGCAGTTTAGTGGAAAATGTTGCGTTCTGTAATGTTATGATGAAAACGATCTACGAATATATCGAATACAACAGGAGTGAAATCGGAAAAAAAAAACCACGAAGATTCAGGCCCGTCGGTAGGATTTTATATGGGGGGCGTTATTCTAAAGACGATGGCTTAAGACAATCGTAGTTTATATTTAAGAAAAAATTATCCCAAATATCAGACAACCGTTGAAATAGTTGTCAAAAAGTTGTTTATCAAGCCGTGCAAAGACTGTATATATAAATAAATGCAAAATAGAATTTCGCTCATTTAATTTTGAAGATCATAGAAGGCAGCAAGAAAATTGTGAATTACGTGATAAAATCAAATTTCAGTGAATTGATTTAAATTTTCAAATAAAGTTTAATTTTGAAGAAAAAGTGAAGAACGAAAATGTTGAATAACAAAAGAAAATTTTTAAATATAAAAAATTATTTCCAAAAATACTACACTCCAAGTCCAAATCAACCGGAAATAGAAAGGGAAATGGAACATTTCGAAAAAAAATTTGATGCCTTATTACATAGGACAAGTATAGACATTGAATGGCGCTGTATCTATCCTATAAACATCGAACTAATGAAAATGTGTGGTGGTTCATGTCTTATTTAATATACAATATTGGAAATTTATCCAATGCACAAACCATTTCTTCTAGTTCCTCTTACATTAGTGTAGGGGGATTCTTCTAAAGTTCAGAGAATGACGTTTGCATATAAATACATGTAAAAGACACTTTTAGGCTCGTCCTATGCCTTATTACCGAAACTTCAAGAGCTTGGTTACTCTAAAGGTCAATTATATAAATTTGAAGAGGGTAAGTTATTCAAACATATAATTGTGTAATATTTGAAGGGAATTGAAAATTCAAAATTATCTCTTTTTAAGGCGTTGAATGTATTGTTGAAGACTCTAACGATGTATATTTGGGGCCATTTATAACTTTTAGAGCAGTAATCAAAGAAAATACTGTTTTTTATGAGGTCATCGATCTACGGGGGTACTAGGAATTTTGTTATAACCTAAAACAATTGGAAATCATCATAAAAATATATTTTCCAGGAATCTTTTAATTTATCCTGAAGTTCATAATCGACTTCCATGCGTGCAACTTATGCATCAACCGCCGTAACAAATATATACCCGATGACGGATTTTTGGTACAAAGGCATTTGATGAATCAACACGGTTATGATGCATTTGATTTTCAAGAACTTGAAGGGGGTAAGTAATTAAAACGTAGAATTGACTAGTATTTAAAGAAAAATTGGAAGTTTTTACTTTTCTCTTTTGAAAACATCGAATTTTTAAAAATAAAATCCATTATTTTTGATTAATCCATTTCAGGACAAAATACAGGAATAGCCTTGGAAGTGAGTCCAAAATCTCATTGTAAGTGCAGTATGTTCATGTTCAGTCCAGACAAAAAAGCAGCATTTGAGGCCCAAAAGAGCCACAAAAGAAGGTGGACCGATTCGGAAGAAGAAGGACCTTCGAAAAAACGAGCTCGCATGATTAAAAAAATTGTTGCTGTTGATGTATGCAGTACGTATGACACTATAGTACAGCAAAACCACCACAAGCACATAACTCTTCATAATTATGGAATAAAAGAGCAACCGGAACATCCTTGGAAATGCAATATATGTCTCATGGAATATATGGACGATAAAGAATTTGAAGAGCATTCCAAAGATCATTTTTAGAAATATATAAAAAAGTAGAAAAGATAAAAAGAGATTCTCACATTTAGACCAAAGCAAAAAAAAAATCAGAATAGATTTGAGTAATTTTCTCTTAACGAATAAAATCCAAAATACACGAAAGAAATCGGCCAAATTTAAATTAAAAATTGTTGAGTATTGAGAAATACTTCTAGTTTGTATAGACTGATTATTGGATTATTGGACAAATATAACAATGGTTACTTGATATTTACTAAGGCTACTTAATATCTTCCTCTTTTTTAAATAAATCAATCTATTTAACATAAAATTGATTAAGTGGTTTGTTCCATAAATCAAATGCGTTGAATCGATTGATTCCAAAAACGTTAAGGTGAGCATTGTCAGTTACGTAAATTGACCATTTTTCACCTATGAATCGCGCATCAAGAGAAATAATTATGGTGAATTCTTTATTTTTAAAAGAAAACCCATATATTATACTTTTTCGGCTTTAGTCATGAACATCTGACTACGGGCCTGACTGTTTTTTCTCTCTCACCGGCTCTCTGTCTACGTCTCATATATTTTTATTTTATTTTGGGGAAAACGCAATCATTAAAATAATTGTCTTCACAACATTATATGAAACTGTCACGAACACTTTCTACTCCTTGCTTATTCGTTGTTTTTTAGTTTTTTTTCTATGTGTGTGTTGTTTTTTTTGTGTCGGCGAGAGCAATTTTTTCCCGTTTCGGTCTATTTATTTATTTACGTTTGTGCGTTTTGCTGCTATAGTCGTTGATTTCAAATGTTATCGCTTGTGTACACGAGCGCGAACGAGCCGAATGGAACGAGTCTATGTTGCTGCTGTTGAAAACGTGAAATAGTTGATGAATTTGTATATTTATATTTCATGTATTCTTTTTATCGTTGTCGACGTCTCCGTCGCCGTCTTTGTGGTTCTATGCATTCTGCACGCTCTCATAGCGTCGCCCATAGCTTCGCTTTTCACGTTTTTGACATGTATTTTTGTGATAGACTCAAATAAACATTTTTCGACTTTGTTAAGCAATGATTTTTGTTTTCGGCAGTCCGACCGAACTCCATTTTAACGAAATGATTATTTGCGCTACAAGCTCTAAGTTTCAATGCGTTTTATACTGTATTTTTTTTTTCTTTATTCATCAGTGTTTATGTACTTTATATAACGTGTGAGTCGCTTTTCATGGACACAGGACATTTTTAAAGGGTATTATAAGCTCTTTACAACAAAATACATACTTTTTCCATTTTTTTTTTTTGTTCGTTCAACTTGAACTTTTCTCAATTCGTTTTTCGCCTTGTCGTCGAGCAACATTTCGCGTCCGAAATGTACATTTCATTTGTGGTGGTGGCGGCGGCGGTGGAGGGAGAAGTTGAAGAATCGCTGCTGTTGAAAATGCGATGAGGAAAAAGCAACAACTGACATTTGTACGAGCATTAGGCAAAAGCAGCAATCTTGTGTCAGTAGCAAATAATATACTAAGCGTTCAGTTTTATTCACCGAACGACTAAAAGAATAAGTAAGAAATAAAAAAAAAACACAAAAAATACATTTTTTCGGTTGATGTAATTGTTTTTGTTGGACGGGATTTACGAAAGCATCATGCGTTAAGACAATAGCGTCAGCACATGCTGTATATGTACTGTTTGGTGGAATATAGGAACAAAAACTCTCTAAAAGTGTTGTATTGGTATGGACTAAAACAGGGACACGAAACATATTTCGGAGCATACAACATGGGTGCATCGAAACGGGCCGCAGTGCTCGAAAAATACTATAATGTTTCGTTGAGTTTGGACACTACGGCGACATTGTAATGTTACTTTGCACGAGAGATAGTATCGTTGACAGAGACAGAAAAACAGCCAACCAACTTTCGTATGATAAATTCAGTCAGAAAAGGTCAGAATAATATTTATTTTTTTTCAGTTTTATTTTTTTTCCATTGAGGATTTTTCATTTTCGTGCACATGTTTCGACGATCACAGGGATTCAACTGTCCATTCACACAACCATTCTCGCGTGAAGAGAAACATCGTAAGAAACTTTATTTCCGAGTGTGAATGTGTGTGTACGATTCAATGATGTTGTTGTTTTTCAATATTTTTAGAGTGGAATTTATATCCCTTCGGATTGAAATAGGAAATAAATACGAAATTGATTTGAAGCTTAAGGTTAACTGACAGGGAATTAAAATGTCAAAATAATTTTTTGACGTGAATTTCGGAATAAACGAACGATAAAGGGAAAAATAAACGAAGGCTTGATGTAGAACTTCTATTCAAACATATACACTTGATGCTATATTTATGTGTTGTCACACACCGTCCATGTTTTAATATCAGTTTAATATTTCAATTTCTCTAAAGCGTCACATCAACCTGTCTCTGTTTCAACGAGACAACACAGAAAGAAGAAAAAGATGATTTTGTCTCTTTTAAATTGATACCAATTTTTTGATGTGGGACCTTACATTTTTTATTTATAAAATAAAAACACCTGCATTCATATTTTGACGACATTTTCTCTGATGGAGATTTTTTAAGAGTGTTTGAACGATATTTTTTCCTCATTCGAACTTCCCTTCGTTTCTCGAAATGTTATTATTTTATTTTCATTCATGCCGTATTTTATCCCTTCCTTGTGCATATTAATATCAAATGTTTTAGATTATTTAAAAGGTTTTAATTAGCAAAAAGCAATAAACTACTCAGTTAATGTCATTGAATGATGTTTGATAATGTGCGGTACATTTTGAAATTAGTAAAAGTAATGACGCATAAAACGAAACAAATCAAATATGTAAAAGAAATCGAGTTCGTCCCAATCAAAATACACAATCAATTGAGATTGCAATGGTTTTCACGTTGGTTCATAAATCATTTGATTGAATTATGGTGGAAATGTTTTGTTGACCGAATCGATAAGACGGTCGTGTCAAATGCTCCGCCACTTTTCGATGGCCATCACACACAAATTTATAAATAAATTAAAGAAAATACTGTTCCAACATGAGCATACTCACTCTAATTAATGGCTTACATTGATTTGATTGTTGTCATCATGGTTGTCACTTCGGAATAATCGAAATTCATTCAAATAAACATGGCAACAAACGCACAATGGATTCAAAGTAGATTATATTGAAGTTGTATGAATATTGTTAATTTCTAATAACTGCGAATCGATGCCGAACCCCATCAATTATATCAAGAAAATAGACAAGTAAACAACATGCGTCCCATTAATGGAAAATTTATTCAAATAGCAATTACATGCTTTATAACATAGCACAACTTGAGGAATTAAGTGAAAGAGAAAGAAAGAATGTGATTGTCAATAGACACTTAGAAAGAGAATGCTTGTTTGTTTTTCTGCTTTGGGGCTTTTCATGTTTTAATTTAAGCACGAACAAACTGCTGTTGCACGTTTTTCGATTCAAGCCAAAAATGGAAAAAAGCACCATCGTGTATGAGTGCGGCCCAAATAAAAAGCCCAAATTCACTAAACCGAAACGAAAAAAAAGAAGTAGAAACTTCAAGGAATTTTTTTTTGTTATGAAACTCATACATGACACACATGGAAAATAAAAATTCTATTTAAGCCATTTTCCACGTGTATGAATTGGCGATGGTTTTTTTTTTGTACCTGCGGTTCGGTTCATATTTTCATGTTTGAAGATAATTGAAAAAGCCAACCTACCAAATAACAACCTGTGTCAACCAATCATCCAACATTAATTCGAATGACGATGACGAGAATAATGCAAAAAGTCAAGCACCAACATTCACCTCGAACACCCGCACAAAACTATTCATTTCGAACAACAACGATGACGACGACGACAATAACGACAAGTGGAATTGAACATTTTTTGGCCTAATAAAATTCTGCGTCCCATACGGAATATTTGGCGCAAATGAACATGAGCATGAATATTGCCAAAAATACAAGAGAAAGAGAGAGAATGAAAACGAATGGCAAAATCAACTTCGACGGATGCAAATGCCACAATGGCACAACGAATACACAGCCACAGTGGAACTTTTCCAAATGTGCGTTGTTCGCATGCATGTTGATAAAACGGGAATCGTTGTGCAAAAGCTTCAAAAGGAAATCGAACAAAATATTAATGGCATTTTTGGTATATGCTGGAAAACGCGAAGCAGAACAGATTATTGAGCAAACGAACTACCAATGAGTGCGATGGCAGAGAAATAAAAAATGTGAAACCAAATGCAAAAAATAATAAAACCGAAAAACAAATTTCGGATAAAATTGGAAAACTTTTAACATTTCCAATAAATGTCGGTAGTTTTATTATCAAGCGGGTGGATATGAGAGTTTTGCGCTCTCTTTGCTCCACATTCGGCACATATATGCCGAAATTCATTTTTCGTGCTCGCCAGTTTTTTCACCACTTTTGAGCGCATTCATTAGAAGCAGAGAAAGGCGACCAGAAGAGAGAAAAAGAGAGAGCGGAAGCGAGAGCGATAGTTTGTGGCGCGCAACATTTGCCGAAAATTTATAGGTGGAAAAGTGACAGAATGTGGCTTTTTTTCTGGCTATTTGCATTCGCATTGCACACATAGTTTGTTTGTACGACAATTTTTGTTTGTATTTCGATCGAAATGCTTATGTGTTCAGCGAAACTTTGCAACTCTCAATAGATTTGGCAAACTCTCATTTTCACACTCGCATATACGGGCCTCTGGGTCTCTTGTTTTCATTCTAACGTAATCGAAAGTACACACATTTGTATCCACATCATGATTTTATCAACAGAACAACATATTTGTTGTCAATATGCACCAACAAATAGCAATGGACCGGTGCCGAGTACGAAGATAGAGCTTGATATATATTTTGACGTCGAAAAAATAATCAGGCAATGTCAAATGCCGTGCACACCATCAATGATTTTTCGAATTTTGTTTCGCATTATGAAAATATCTAAAATCTCTCTGAGTTGCCCAAGCTCCGAAAACTCATTTATTGTACGCAAGAATATGTATGTATTTGTTGGTGATAGTGGGCGATATTTATAGCAAAATGTAAATAAATTGTGTCCTTTTTTGTTGCTGTTCTGATGGTGCCTAACTTTTCTCCACCACTTTATG